TATGGTAAGGACAGCGCCAAGCTGTTCATGAGGGATCCACCCCCAGAACCCAGACACCTCCTGCCGGGCCCCGCATCCAACACTGGAGGTCACATTTCAACAGGAGATGTGGAGGGGATGGTGCCCTGCTGATCCTGGGAAACCGGAAGCTTTAGCTTTGCCTTTGGTGGGCTGCACCCGGCCGAGGCACCGGCCCCTTTGAAATGTGACCCCCAGTGTCATAGGTGGAGCCTGGCGGGAGGTGTCTGGGTCCTGGGGATGGGTCCCTTGTGAATGGGGAACCACTGGCCCTATCTGCTGACCCCTTGGAGGAGAAACACCGTCCGGGAGGAGGCGGCAGCTGGGAGCCTGGGGGCGTTTCTTAGGCTTCAAGAACGGAGTGACTTTGTGTCACAGGAGGGTATGGAATCTCCTGTGCAGTGAACCCAGGTGGGCGAGGGGACTGTGGGAGGGGGCTCAGGCAAGCTGGGCCTCCCCCGTCACTGCTGCCCGTGGGCCTCCTGCTCCCAACACCCCTCAGAACGCGGTGGATGTCCCTGGTGCCAGGCCCTGGGGAACCTGTAGGGGAAGCAAGGACAGTGGCTGGCTGCTACTCTGCTGAGAATACCAGTATCCCTGCTGTTGCTGCTGCTAATACTGCATCTGCTGCTGCTACTAATACTAACGCCAAACTGTTACTGTGAAGGATAACACCAGTACACTTGCAGGTCGTAATAATGATACTGCTGCGACTAGTACGAATAATACCAATGCTGCTGCTGCTGCTGCTGCTGCTAATACTGTGCTGCTATGAATACTAATACCAACATCACTGTTACTATACCACTGCTCACACCCATGCGATTCCTACAAAAAACACTACTGTTGCTACCACTGCTGCTAATGCTCTTTCATACCAAAGCAAGGCTGCTACTACTGCAGGAAATAAAAATACCAGTACCACTGATACTGGTACGGCTAATCAATACCAACACTGCCACCGTGATTGCAGCTGCTCCTGCGAGCGCCGCCACCGCTGCCAACGGCAGTTCCATGTGCCCAGCATTCCATCTGCTGCCCTTTTTGGAGCACTAAGCCCGTGTTGACGCATTCTGCCCTCATGCTCATCCTAGAAACAGGCTCTGTCATCATGGCTGTTTCACAGAGGACGGGACTAACCTCTGCCGGGCGCTGCCCTGGCTGCTCACAGGCACTCTGGCCCCAGGGCTTCCTGCCTGGCCTTTCATCCACTGCCCCGAGCTGGGGGATGCTCAGGCTTGAGCCCTTTCCCACCCCTCCTCCTTCAGCTCATTGTCCAGTCACCCCAAGCCTCGGCCGCAGAGGGAAGGCGTGTCTGGCCCTGCAGGGGTCTCTGAGGCTGTGGCTCTGGGGTTCAGGCACTCGTGCAGACCTGGGTGGTGTGGCCTCTCCTCACCCGTGGTCACGCACTGTGCCATCGCAGGCCTGGGTGTTCATCAGGGCCAGGTTCCCTCTCCCACGGGGAACCCTCAGCTGTAGGTATCCTGTGAGTCTGCGCTCCAGGCCCCGTTCTGTGCACAGAAGACGCAGGCCCCTCGGTAGGCTGGTGGCGGCCCTCCTTGAACCCCACCGGCCGCTGTGCAGAGGTCTTGGGGTTCCTTGGTGAGCCACCCGGTGGCTGCTCCTCCATCTGTTTTCTGTCTCCCTTGGACAGAGGTGACCTGGTTCATCTCTAACTTGAGGGTACTCCGCACTTCCTGTGCATGGATCCATTTACCCACAGCTTATTGTGATCCATCGAGTATCTGTTAAATGCCCATGCTGTGCCAAGTCCTGAACTAGGGGTTGAGGATGGACTGATGGGCCAGGCCAAGGGTCTGACCTTGGGAAGTGCCACTGTGGCCCACACAGGACACAGGCGTGGGAGTGGCCCTGCCAGGCCCTGGGGACCAAACCACAGAGAGCCTGCAGCTGCTGCTTGGCTCACCCTCATCCTTGGCCCCCCAGCCCCCGTCATTTCTGGGAGTCCTATGGAACCATGTGAGAGCAGACAGCCTGACCTCTTCCCTCTGTGTTGCACCCAACCCGCCCTCCTGCAACCAAAGCAGGCAGCCCGCAGCCCGCCGGCCACCACATAGGTGTGCATCAGGTGCAGAACTCGCTTTAGGCCCCTGCGACCTCAGCCGCCCTTAACCCCCTCGATGGGGTGTAACGTCCCCAAAGGTTGGCTGTTCACGTGGTACCTTTCATTATTTTCACCGTCTCTGCATGCTGCCTATATTCTTAGTCCCTGTTGTTTAAAATCCCTTCACTTCTGAAAACTTTATTTTGAAGTAATTTTAGGTTCACGGGAATTTACAAAGACAGCAGGGAGCGTTCCCGCGGCCCCTCTTCCGGCTTCCCGGTGGTGGCGTCTCTGTAGCCAGAGTGTGCTCTCAAAGCCGGGAAGCTGGCGTGGGAGCAGCACTGTGGTGTGCTGGGGAATTTATTTGCTTTCTCCAGTGTTTATATCCTCTTTTTTTTCCCCCGTATACAGCTGTATGGCATTTGGTGGTATATACAGATTCTTGTTACCACCACCACCGTCAGGTGTACAGACGCTGCTGTCACCCAGAGAAACTCCCTCACGACACCCTCCCTAGTCACACCCTCCCCTAACCCGAAACCCTGACAACTGCTGATCTGTTCTTTATTGCTATAATTTTATCATTTCAAGATTGTAATAGGAAAAATCTATTCACTTTTTTTTTTTTTTTTTGAGACAGAGTCTCACTCTTGTTGCCCGAACTGGAGTGCAGTGGCTCGATCTCAGCTCACTACAACCTCTGCCTCCCGGGTTCAAGCAGTTTTCCTGCCTCAGCCTCCCAAGTAGCTGGGACTACAGGCATGTGTCACCCTGCCCGGCTAATTTTGTATTTTTAGTAGAGACTGAGTTTCACCATGTTGGCCAGGCTAGTCTCAAACTCTTGAGCTCAGGTGATTCGTCTGCCTCGGCCTCCCAAAGTCTGGGATTACAGGCATAAGCCACCATGCCCGGCCTATTTTAGTTAGGTCATTTTCATAGATATGATGTCAGGGAATGGATGTGCCAGTTACACGTTCTCTGTCGCACGTTAGAATGAATGCATGACTATTAAACGTCTCCTGTTCCTCCACGCCCCAGGAAGGCTCCGCAAGTGCCCCGTGGGTGCCTGGGGGCTTGTTGGCTCACACAGTTGAGCTCAGGGCCCTCTGGGGTCAGGCCTTGCCTGCAGCAGGCAGTGACAGCTGTTCCCTGGCCAAGACCCTGGCTGCCCTGCAGGGCCTGTCACTCTGTCTTAAGGGCTGATCCAGCAGAACCAGAGTGCCTGCAAGCCCCCGGAAGCTGAGTCATCATCCCACCTGCAGACCCCGCATTTGGGGTAGGAGCTGTCCCCGGGCTTGGATTCCCTTTGATGCTTTCCATGTCATGCCCGGGAGCCCCTGGGCTTTTAGCTCTACGCCTTCCTCGGTAGACACAGCCGGCTTGGCCAAGCCCATTCAGCTTCTTAAAGAAGAATAGTGCTGATTTCTTTTAATGAATCAAAGAAATTAATTATAGGCTTTGGATTTGTTAGGTTTATTTTAGAAATCCATGATCTCAGCCATAAATAGTGCTTCATTCTGGACCAAGGAGCTGAGAAGCCTGCTGCTTGTGGAGGGACAGTGGGGGAGAGGATGGATGAAGAGGAGGGGCGGAGGAGGGGGAGGTGGGGACTGTCGCTCAGGTCCGGGACGCAGCAGGAAACAGGCCGACAGAGGCCTGCCCTCATGCGGCTGACATTTCACTGGGGAAACACCAGTGTCTGTCGTCAGCCCCAGAGATGACATTAATAATCCCATAACGGATTTTCCCAGCCGTCCTAAAGTAAGGAGTGGCAAGAAAGCGGCCTTGTATGCAGACCCGACAAGCCGTCCCCACAAGGAGCGTGGTACCCAGAGCTCGGGGTTCGCCATTTTCACTGATTCAGCAAACGCTCTCTGAGCACGATGCTGAGTCCATGCAGAGTGTCGAAGGTGTGCCCACGAGCCAGAAGGCAGAGACTCAGGGCTGACAGTGTCGTCCTGGACACCGACAAGAAACAAACAGCCCAGGAGCTACCGTAGTGCCGGGGGGCGGTCAGCGCGGTGGAGAAAGGAAGGGTGGGTCCTCTGTAGACCCCTCTGTCCCGCACCTTCTGTGATGGGGGCCAGAAACCCATCTCAGGAGACCGCGTCTCACACACAGCTCGAGTCCCAGGGGAGCAGGGAGCAGGGCTTTGCCCATGTACCCCTGACCTGGGAGGAAGCCCACAAGGGTCAGAGATGTCCCGAGATTGGACACAGCCCAGGTCTGTCCTGCCCCGAGGAAGGAGCTTTGCTGGGCTACCCCTTTCCTGTATGTGTCCCCAGGGGAGACGCTTGCCTTCCCCAGGGCTCCCGAGGTGTCTTCGTGTTGTCTGCAAATGCAGCAGTGTTGCTAACTGACTGTAGCAGAGAGATTCCTTATTGCTCAAAGTGGCGTTCTTAAGTGTTCTGCAGTCCGAAGGGGCAGGCACCCTGGATGAGAATTGCATCCTTGCATCCGTGGGACAGCACCTGAGCTGCTCCCCTGAGTCTGGGCCGCATCACAGCCTCATACTCCAAGTTCCAAACAGCTCTAGCAAAGCCTGCCAACTGCAAAGTGCCCGGGCTGCACGCACAGCCCAGAACAATCTACGGTTGGCTGGGAGCTGAGTGTTTGCAGAATTTCTTGGCACCTGTGGTTTCTCACATTGGCCAGTAGCCAGGTGGCACGAGAAGCTGGGTTTATCAGGCACTGCTCTCCCGTGGAGGTGGGAGGCAGCCCCTGCTGCACACGGCACACACAGACACGTGCACACACTCTTACCACGCATGCATTTTCACAGACACAACACGTGTGTGTACACACACCTGCACACACATGCATATGTGCACACATACAACACATGTGAGCAGGCTCAGACACATTTCCACCACCAAATGCGCCACCGCTGACCCCCTGTCCTGCCTCTGCCGTGCAGTCCAAGGTTCGAGAGCTGGAAGAGAAATGCCGGACTCAAAGTGAGCAGTTCAACCTGCTGTCCCGGGACCTGGAGAAGTTCCGGCAGCACGCTGGGAAGATTGACCTGCTGGGTGGCAGCACGGTGGCCCCCCTGGATGTCTCCACGGCCCCCGGCAAGCCTTTCCCGCAGTTCGTGAATGGCCTAGCCACCTCCCTCGGCAAAGGTAAGCACCTGGACCATCCGCCTTGCTGTGGTGGGGACAGAATGGCCGTTGGCCGGGCCTGCGAGGGTGCGTGCAGGTGAAGTCGGTTTGGTGACACCTGGCAGAGGGTTCAGGGACCCACCACCACAGTAGGAAGGATGAGAACAGGGCTGCTCGCAGCCACGGGGCACACGGTGCACCCAGCACCTCACGGGCATCCACAAATGTGTGACCCACACATTTTCTCACCTGTAAAATGGGCCCATCTTACAGGCGAGAAAAACCAAGGCACTAGCGTGGGTCACACAGCTGCTGATGAAGGCTCAGTCTGGGATGTGAACCCAGGAGTCTGGCTGCAGAGACTACACTGGTGATAACTCCACATGGGCTTCTTGGCGGGATACTCCAACGCTCTGCGAAGCTCGTTTCTCTGCATTAGTTGTTTCCCTTCCTTCTCATCTCAGTAACCTGTTGGTGATGTTGGGACGTGCTTGGCACCTCTGTTCCAGCAAAGGCAGTGGTGAACATGAGCCCTCACCCAGCACAGTCCTGCTTAGAGGCCGGGTGGGGAGAAGCCCCCGTGTACGTGCTGGGGGGGTTAGTCTTGGTCGCAGGCAGAACAATCACAGGTGTCCTTTAATCAGAGCTCAGTGGAGGTGCCATGTCCCGGCTGAAGGTTAAGTGGGATGCAGAGGTTAGACAGGTTTCATGGCCAGGTCTGCCCACCTGTTTAAGAAGTTGGTTTAAAAAAAATTAGGAGAGATGAGCATCTGAACCTCACTTTGGAATTCCGTAAAAAAGATAATTTGCACATTTCCCCTAGTTTTTATCAGAATATATAAGTACCTTGGGTGCTTTTTATCATTAAAATAAGGAGATGCCACTTGGGTCTTGTTAAAAAACGTTCTCCTGCCTCTCCCCTCATCCCGCACCTTCCCACACCCTTCGCTTTTGGTCCATGCATCAGGGAGAATACGGGCTGGGGTAAGCGGCCATGGCTGTGGAAGGCCAGTGGGCAGGGACCGGGATCTGAGCGCTCTGCCGCTCATCTCCAGGCACTCACAACACGCGGGCTGCATGCCCTGCCCAGGTTGTGACATTGAAAGACAGACAGGGCCCCTGGCGGAGCTCCTGCTGGCGGGCAGATGATACATAGGGAGCCCCTGAACCAGACGCTGCGTACAGACCAGGTGACAAGGTGGACGGTGATTTGGGCTCTTCTAGATGGTCCTGGAAGGCGGCTGCCAAGAAACCACATTTGAGCTGTGAAACCTGAAGGGTGGAGGAAAACAAGACAGTTTCAGTTCTTCCCAGGGGAAAACAGAATGCACGTGTCTCCACGCTCTCTCTCTCCCTCCCTCCCGCAAAGGGACACAGAGCGCCGCTCCATGCCACAAGAAACGCACGGCTTCTGCTCTGGGAAACCCACTGAGACTCGGGCCCAGAGCTTTTCCTGGGGGCTGCTTGTGTGGGCACCATGCCCACTGAAGCTCCAGACTCCCAGAAGGAAAGCAGGTGTTCACTGTGAGCTGTGTGGTGTGCACAAGCCAGGCCTGCCTTTATCACTCAGGGGATGTTTCCTTCCAGTGTAGAGGACATTTCAGAAGCTGAGTTCCGGACACCGGCCAGGGACCCACCTTGCAAGCTGGCCCTTCTGAAAACAGCAGTCGCAGGCCTGCCCGGTGAGCCCGAGGCTCACAGCACGTGAATGTGGGACCCACTGCAAAGCTCCTGGGTCAGGGAGGTGGGAACGGGGATTGGCCAGCATGGAAAAAGGAATCTGATTAACCACGGCAGAAAATGCATACTGAGTAAAACCAAAAAACCAAAGCGGGACGACGCCTTTACTAAACCAGGGGCCACTTGGCAGAGAAGAAGGTGTGAACCATGGCTTGTGTTTAATAACCGTCTGGAGGATGCACCCTCCTAATGAACCCAGCTCATTTAATCACTCTTTCCTCGCCCACCGGGGTCCCCCGGCATGGCCCATGCCCATCTCCCCTGGCATTGCCCTGGCATTCTCCTCACAGTGCATGTCACTTATGGTGGCGGACACCAGCGCCTCCAGAGAGCTGCTCCACACCACCCCGATCCCACCAGGACACTCCTCCCTGCAGACAGCGCAGGTCCCTCTTCCACGCCTCTGCTGAGGGTCTCCTCTTGTTTTATTCTTTCTCCCCTCACTCTCTGAATGGGTTTACTTATTTTTGTACATTTTCCCCCTCTGTGTTTACTTATTTTTGTACATTTTTTCCAACTTTGAGGTATAGTGGATAATTAGAAATCATATATATTTAAGGTGTACAACGTGATCCTATGTAACATAAATCGGTTGCGAAATAATCACCACAGCCAAGCTAATTAACATACCACCTCCTATCCACGTCCTCACGTGGTTCCCTTTTCTTTTCATGGTGAAAACCCTTAAGATCTGCCTCCTTGGCAAACTTCAAGTCTATAATCCAGCATTTTTTTTTTTTTTTTTGCAATGGAGTCTCACTCTGTTGCCCGGGCTGGAGAGCAGTGGTATGATCTCAGCTCACTACAACCTCCGCCACCCAGGTTCAAGCGATTCTGCTGCCTTAGCCTCCCAAGTAGCTGGAATTACAGGCACCTGCCACCACGCCTGGCTAAGTTTTGTATTTTCAGTAGAGATGGGGTTTCACCATGTTGGCCAGGCTGGTCTTAAACCCCTGACCTCAGGTGATCCACCTGCCTTGGCCTCCCAAAGTGCTGGGATTACAGGTGTGAGCCGCTGCCCTGGCCTACAATCCAGCATTTTAGCTGCATTCATGTTTCTGTGCAGATCCCCAGAGCGTATTCATCTTGTGCCCTTCAACCAACAGCCCCGGGCCCAGCCCCTGGTAACCACTGTTCTGATCTCTGCTTCTTCGAGTTGGCCTTGTTGAGGTTTCGCATGTAAGTGGGGGCCGTCCATGCCACGTTTGTCTCTCTGTGCCTGGGTTATTCCACATAGCAGAGAGTCCTCCAGGTCCCTCATGTTGTCATAAAGGGCTGGGTGTCCTTCTTTCCTGAGGCCGGATAACATCCCATTGTGTTCATATCTGTATTTTTTACCTGTTCATCTGCTGCAGATCCCCCTGAACCAGACGCTGCGTACAGACCAGGTGACAAGGTGGACGGTGATTTGGGCTCTTCTAGATGGTCCTGGAAGGCGGCTGCCAAGAAACCA